ATAATAACTATCAGTATAAATATTAATAGGCTTGGAGGAGAATAGCTGGAAGGCGTTAACAATGGCCTTGAGTTCTGCTTGCTGGGCAGAGCAATGAGGGATTTGAAGAGTGTAGCATTTATTATTAGCTACTACTGCTGCCATTCCTTTTCCAGAGCCATCAGTGAACACTGTTTTTGCTTTTGGGATGGGATCCTTTTGTGTATTATGTGGGAATAAAATTGGATGTGATTGATAGAACTGACAAATTTTGTTTCTAGGATAATGATGTCTTTATTGTGTGAGATATAAACAATTGAGGAGAGTCCAATAGGGAACTTGGGTAATCAATGCCTGAAGTTGTGAGGGAGTGTATGGTATGATAATTTCATTAATGTATTTGCCAAAGATTGTTATGACAGTTTGGTGTGTTTTGAATAGTAGGTCACTCACAGCTATGTGATAGGGAAGCACGACCTTGGAAGGGCTAATTGGCGAGGTCATTCAATACAGTGGACTTGTTTGCCAAAAACAACCCATAGGGTGATGACTGGCTGGAAAGATTATGAACTGTAAAGGTCTGGTGGGGTCTATCTGTTGTAATTGTGCTTTAGTAAGAGCCTCTTTTACTTTGTGTAAGGCTTCCTTTCTTTGTGTTGTTAGTTTTTTTGGAGAGGCCGGGCATGGATCGCCTTTTAGCATTTGATAGAACGGTAAGAGGTCTTGATTGGATAATTTTAATGTAGGTCTTAGCCAGGCAATATCTCCTAGGAGTTTTTGAAAATCATGTAAGTTTTTTAAGTGTGAAGTCTGTATTATAATTTTGGATGGTGTAATATGATTGGGAGTGACTTTGTACCCGAGATATTGAAATGGTGGGGTAATCTGTACCTTATCAGGGGCAATGTGTAGTTTAGCCTGTGTCAATAGCTGTTGAAGGGTATTATAGCATTGTAGCAGTTCCTCCCTATGTTGGGCTGCTAACAGTAAATCATCCATGTAATGGATGAGCATCACTGAGGAAGGGAGGGTCTCTCTGAGGGGTTTGATGGCCGCATTTACATAAGTTTGGCACATAGTAGGACTGTTTGCCAGTCCCTGCGGAAGGCACTTCTATTGGTATTTCGCATTTGGGGCCTGATGGTTAGTGGAAGGGATGGAGAAAGCAAACTTTTTTTTTGTCTTTTGGATGCAATTTTTGAGGTTAATGATAATGATATGTCATGAGTCTGGGATGGCTGAAGGGAATGGGAGACCTGGCTGAGTAGCTCTCATTGGCACCATACATGCATTAACTGCTCTGAGATCTTGTAACAGGCACCATCTTCCTGATTTCTTTTGCTGGAATAATGTACATTTTAGTAACAAACTGTGTTTATGTGGGTATGCTAACAAAGAAAGTTTAAATGTTAATAAGAGATACTTCTAAGGATAATCTAAGGAGTTGTTTGTTTAAGAGCAAGCTTTATTCAACTGAATTAGACCTTGTTACTTTCTACTCTTTGGAACACTCTGTGAAGAATTAGGCATCGTTCTGCACAACTGGAGAAGGTGAGGTATATAGCTTCTCTTCTTTTTTTTGTCTTGTGCCTGCTGAAAATTTTTCTCATCTTAATATATACCACCCACTTTGCCTCATTTCGTGTTATTAATTTTTGCTTTACTGGCAAATATTTTTATATTAAAATAAAATATATTTATAAAAATTAGTTATCAAATCTGGTATTTTCTTGCTTTTTGACAGATTAAATAAAAATTACAAAATATTTGAAGTTTTATAAATGACAAAGAAATGAACAAAAAAAATCAGTGTAAGGTTTTAAGCTTGAGAAATGTTTATATATATGTATACATAATTATATTTATATATAAATATATTGCCCTTATATAATATATGTGTATATACATGTATATATATAAATATATATGGGGTCAGAAACCAATTTAAAACCATAGTAACAAAGATTATGCGTACTTTGGTTATTTTAATAACCAAACAATAAAACTAGGTTTATTTCTTTTTTTCTCTGCAAGAGGTACAAGTTAGCTTGTATTGCTGCATTACAGTTTCCTTTTTTTTTTTTTTTTACCTCTTGAAGAAACTTTAACCTCATCACAGTATGAAAATACAGGCAGCATCTATACTTAACAGGATAACAGGGAAATTCTGCTATGGTAAATCAGATTGTAAGTTGATCTTGGCTATTTGAGCATATGTTTCAGGGAGATATTTAATTTGAGCTTGGAGTGTCTCATACTGGCCTCTCCCTGTGAGCATGTCTAAGTTTATATGAGCCTGTCCTGACTGAGCATTCTCGGTGGGCTTTTTCATTATTTGCTTGTCACAGGAGGTAGTCTCCTCCAGACAGCCCTGCTCTTATGAGCTGTTTCCAGTCCCAGGGTATTAGATTTTGATGGCGATATCCCTCAAGGATTGATTGCACTAGGGCAGATTGAGGACTATACATAGAGACTGCTTCCTTCAGTTGCTTGAACTCTTTAATAGGAATAGCCTGATGGTATTTCTGCTGATTTTGCTCGAACACAGGGGCTGCGAGGAATTTCACACCGCCGCTGCTTTCCCGACTATACTCCTCATATGGATTGGCCCAAAATAGCCCTGGACTTGGTCCTGGGTGGATGAGAGGAGGGTCTTTTATGGGCAGGAAGGGGTTACTGGTGTATTGAGGAGGAGACTGGCACTTCCTCCTCAGCTTAGCTTGTATTTTTTTTTAACTGTGCAATAAGTTCTTCTTTTGTTTCACCCTCTATTTCCGTTTCATTGTTCAAGTTAGGGGATTTAAAGGAAGAAAGGTCAGGGTATAATGGCCCTGACGCTGGCTCTGTTCCCTTGGCCTCTTTTGTAGCTTCAGGGGGGGTCCTGAGTTCCCTGACACTCAGCCTGTGCCCGCTGGAAATCCTCTTTCACTTTTTTAAGCTTCTTTTGAGCGACCTGAGCCGGGCCCAGGAGGGCATCTCGGACTGCTCTCCACAGAGAAAATGCCCAAGTAGGGAAGCCTTGGGGACCTTTCCCCATTAACTTATCAGTTAAATCCTGTTTTACTTGTTTCCAATCATGAGGGTTTAAAGCCCCTCCAAAAGCAAACCACGGACTACTCTCCGGCACTAAACTTATAAAGTCCTGTAAGGTTGAGTCATGGACCTTTATTCCATGCTGCTTCAGCAGCGCCTTAAGGCTGACTGTTAATTTACTTTGTTGCCCACCCATCTTAGGGTGTTTGGTGTCTCTTGGACGTTCGCGGGGGTAGTGCATTTACCCCCATTGCGGACTTATGTGCGCCACCTCCGCTGTCCGAAGACTGTCTTGCTCCCTGTTACGGGAGCTACGCCGAGCTCGGTGGGACCTCCACTTGCCGCTTCCCGGCGGGCGGCGGCGGCTTGGGGAGTCAGCGTATGAAGGGGAAAGACAAATAAGACAAAAACAGACACATTGAGAAAGGGACTGAGCCGAAGCTGTTTATTGTAATAGGTAGGGGTTTATATAGGTTTAGTTAGTGGGGGAACGAGGGGTACTTCTAGATTTGGTTATGTATGTAGTCCTGGTTTGTGATAGGCTAGTATTGTGAGGATGAAGTAGGAAGAAGGTGGAGAGTGATATGAGTAAATTTTTTTGGAATGTGTGCACATGTTAAATCACCTCTGGTCTTTTGTATCGTTTCTCTTAATCAGCAAGGTCGTTAGGCGCCTCCTTCTAAGATGCACTTTCACTTGAATGTGCTGTAATATAGTTGTTAACCCTTACATAAAATGTCTTTGCATTTATTTTGTACCAACATGTTTGAGGTTAAATGTTAACACTGTCTGCAAAAATGACTATATATAAGTCTTATTTCTGGTTAATTCTATTGTCAAATTCATAGAGTCATACATTTATTTTTATTAGATTTTAATTTCATTTTTGTACTTAAATTGTTCATGATCACATGGTACAATATGGTCTAAAAACCAATTGTTTATGTTGTTCACATGGTAGAATAGGTCTAAACATACTTCTTGGTTGTCATACACCCCCTAAATAATAAAGCTGAGTAAAGGAAGATCAAAGACAAGACAGAAGTACAAGGACATGAATTCTGAGTGGTTCACTTGTGATCCATCTAATTGTGAAAAAATTCACCTATTCTTAAGAGTTCAATTAAAAAAGCAGTGATTTATATTACTTTTGGATCCAGTCCATTACTTTACCTAATGAAAGATACACAAATACATATCAGGGAATGAATCTAGTAGAGATGATTGTGAAACCCCTAACAGGCATTATTGCAAAACTCTTTGAACTTTGGTATTTACTAAAGGACGTCAAACCACTCCCTTCATGAAGTGTACTTAAATTCAGTAATACCTGAAAACTACTAATGAAACAAATGTCAGTTTCCACCAGCACAACTGGGACTACTAGGGATATCTAACATGCTGTTACTAATCAATGTCTATCTCACCTTGTTGATTTCCTGGGTCAGTGGACAAGGTAAGTTGAAAACAGATCTGAACACTCAGATTCCCTTGTAAATGTAATTTCGTGTCGTAGGTAATTTCATGTGTCAATAATTTTGATGAACTCAAGTAGTAGGAATAGAATACATTGTGAGATTATCATGAAAAATAAGTTTATAAAAAATTATCTCAGGTTAGCATGAAGAAAAATTAAAAGAAATACATATATATTTTGTTTTCTGAGTTTTACAGTATTAATGTACTTAATACTGAGTCTGGAGATACAGGAATGGCCTCATGAAACTTTACCTGGGAAATATTTCACAAGAAAAGATAGAGTCTAAAGTCAAAACGTTTGATGGTTTCTTATTTGTAATACAAAGGAACTTTTGACAGTGCTAAATCATTTCATAATGTTACATATTATTAATTCATATATCAAAACATCACATTATATGTTTTAAATGCTGTACATGCAATTTCTTCTATTTCAAGTATACCTTAAAAAGCTGTTAAAACTAATTAATATCACTAAATATTTAATTTTTTTTTTAAATTGCCACCCCATATTTGGGACTATATATATAAGGAAAAAAATAGTATATATTCTTAATTTCCACTGGAATAACATAGAATCTTAATTTGCATTCTGAGTTCTCTAGGAAATGTTCATTAAGTAAATACATAAATAATATTCATAGCTGTATGTGGTATGACATTGTCCACTGATTTATTATCACCTTAAGAGTAATATATATTTTGTATATTAAGTATCTTTTGGAATGTGCATTAAAGAATTATATCTTATGACATTAGCAGTGGAAACAGATGGAGCAAAAATTATGGATATTCAAAGTCATGTGGCCATTGATAAAGCTTTGTAATGTTCTTAAACTTTCCTACATTTTGAAAAGTGTAATGAGGGGTAATATTAGAAAGCCCAATATCAATTTACAAAACGATCATTTCCCCCAGCCATTCCTCTCAAATATATCAGCTGATTTTATTGTAGGTAATGTGCCTTTGATTTTACAATGTTACCTAACACTTCATTTGATGTTGTGCCACATCAACCTTTATCTATACACAAACGAAGAAAAAGGAATTTTTCCCACTTAACTCCTTCATTAGCTGAACTGCTATGGGGTCATTTTTTTGCAAACAAGAAATAGATTAAGGTAGAAATAAAACAGAAAAATAGTACTATTTGGACATAATGGCTTGAGTTTGATAAACATATCACCCTGACTTGCTAAAAAAAAAAAAAAAGACAAATCTTTAGCTGACATTCTACTTGAAAAATAGTCTCCTTCAATGAACTCTTTCTAAAAGTAAGGTTTACACCAAATTTTTATAAATTTGAGTTACACTGCATTTCTTAAAGGAGAAAGCAATCAGTTAGTGGAATAACACTTTTGTGGAGAAACATCTGGGTGCGTTCAGCAACATTGGCTGAAAACTGTGTTCCTCCAAAAGTCAAATGAAAAGTCCCTCGCCCAGGACCTCATAATGTGACTGTATTTGGAGATAAGGTCATTAAAGAGGTAATTAAGTGAAAGGGAGATAACTGAGGTGGGTCCTAGTCCATTACAACTTGTTTCTGTATAAGAGGAAATAGGACACAGACATACAGAGGGAACACCATGTAAAGGAACAGGGAAAATCCGACTATTTATATGACAAGGAAAGAGGCCTCAGAAGAAACTGAGGAGGCTGATAGCTTGACTTCAGACTTTTAACCTCCAGAATTGTGAGAAAATTAACTTGTACCTAATCTGTGATATTTTGCTGTGGCACCCCTATTAGAAAAAAATAAAATGATATTTACATAATTTAGAAGACTATAATAATTAAAAATAATTTTTCCATTTTATTCCTTAGGTGTACATACATACGTACATATATATTGTAGGAAATATTCATCAGATTTTGTGATTATATCTTGGCTGTATTTTTCTTGATGACTTTTTTTCTTCATGAATATTTCATATTTATATATACTTACATTCATGTATAAGCAGAATTTACTAAAGCAGATCCAGGAAATATTCTCTAAGTAATCTTATAATTTAAATTCATGTCTGAAATTTAAGTCTTCTATCCAGAGTAACTCAATTTTTGTAAGTGGTGCGAGGTGCAGTTGCAATTTCAGTATACATGTGCTAATCGGTTCTCCCTGCACCATGTATTACATAGGGATTGTTTTCCCCAGTGTAATGCTTTCATTTTGTTTATGAAGATCAGATGGGACTACATGGCTGGTTAGAACATGTGGGGAGGGTTCCTTCTCTATGGTTTGCAATAAGATCTGCAATATAGTATGAGCTAGCAACTCTTTCAAGGTTTGGTAGAATTATGGTGTAAAACAATATTCTAGGATTTTTTTTTTTTTGGAAGACTTTATTATTGTTTCAACTTAGGCACTCAAGAGTGGTCTGTTCAATTTCTAATTCTTCTTGGTTGAGTTTATGGAGGTGTTAATTTTCACTTTTCCCACATTTTCAAATTTCCTGGCATAAATTTTTTTTGTAGTAATCAGTGATGATCTTTTCTATCTCAGTGATATCTGTTATTAACCATTTTTTCACTTCTAATTTAAGTTATTAGAGATCTCACTTTTCTGGTTCTAGTTAATCTGGATAATGGTTTACTGATGTTATTAATCTTTTCAAAGAACCATTTTTTTTGTTTTCCTGATCTTCTGAATGAAGCTTATGTCCTCAATTTCACTTAATTCTGATCTAGTTTTGGTCATTTCTTTTCTTCTGCTAGGTTCGGGATTGAATTACTCTTCACTTTCCAGTTCTGTGAGATGATTTGTTAGGTTGTTCTTTTGTACTCTTTCTGCTTTTTTGATGTGAGCATTTAACATAATAAATGTGCCTCTTAGAACTGCCTTTGCAGCATCCCTCAGGTTTGATAGCTTGTGGCATCATTGTTGCATTTTTTAAGAAATCTAATGATTTCCTTCTTTATCTCCTCCTTGACCTAGCTGTTGTTCAGCATAAGGTTGCCTAGTTCCCATGATTTTACGTGAGGATGAACATTTTTGTTGGAGTTGAATTCTACTTTTATACTGTTGTGGTCCAAAAAGATATAAGGAATAATATTTTTTCTTTTCTTTATTTATTTGTTTATTTTGGCCAGGGCTGGATTTGAACCCACCACTTCCGGTATATTTGGCTGGTGTCCTACTCCTTTGAGCCACAGGTGCTGCCTAATTTTTATTTTCATAAATTTGTTGGGATTTAATTTGTGCTGAAAGATATGATGAATTTTGAAGGATCATCCGTGGGCTGATGAGAAGAATGTTCACTCAATTTTATTGTTATGGAATGTTCTTTATATGAGTGCTAAGCCCATTTGTTCCAAAGTTGAATTGAAGTCCTTTTTTGTTTGTTTGTTTAGTTTCTGCTTGGAGTACCAGTGTAGTTCTATCAGAGGGGTGCGGAAATCCCCAGCTACTATGGTTCTGCAATACATCATATTGCTCAGGTAGGTTAGGGTTTCTCTTATATATCTGGCAGTGTTTACATTGGGTGCACAGATATTTCGGATTGAAATGTCTTGTTGTATTTTTACCTTGACCAGTCCATTGTACCCATCTTTGTCTTTCTTTATTTTTATTGGTTAAATCCAATTGTATCTGCAAATAAGATTGCAACCCCTGCTTTTTTCTGATTTCCATTTGCCTGAAACATTGACTTCCAATACTTCACCCTTGTTTTGTCCTTAGAAGTCATATGTGTTTCCTGAATATAACATATATTTGGTTTCTGCTTTTTTTAATCCTTTCAGCCAGCCTGTGCCAATTCAGTGTGCAATTCAATGAGAGAATTGATAAATATGGTGGAGTTCTGTTTAATTATTTGAAGGTGTGACTGCTTACTTTATTCCTTACACCATATGGAAGGAGTCTTTGTTCGTTACACTCTGTTTATTTCTAGTTTTCTGGTGGTTCATTGTGATGGTCAGTGTGAAGAACAGGTCTGAGTACTTCTTGTAGAGCTGGTCTTGAAGCAGATTACCTCAAAGTTTGCATGTCAGTAAAAGATTTTATTTCTCCATCAAATAAGACAACTTACATTAGCAGGATACAAAATTCCGGGCTGAAAATTGTTTTGTTTAAGAAGATTAGATGACTACCTTCTCCTGGCTTAAAAAGTTTCCGCTGAAAAGTCTGCTTTCATTCTGGTATTTCTCCCTTTGCAGATAAGAAATAGTTTATGACTGGCTTCATGCAGAATTTCTTTTTTCAATTTGACTTTGATCAAGTTAATTACAGTGTGTCTAGAAAATGCTTTGTTTGAATGGAGTCATGCAGGGGTTCTGAAACTGTCTTGTATCTGAATTTCTGAGTCTCTCCCAATGTTTGGGGAATTCTCTATCATGATGTCTTGAAGCACAGTTTCCATATTTTGGGGTTCTCTTCTCCTTCAGGAATCCCTATTACTTGAATATTTGTGCATTTGGTATAGTCCCATATTTTGCTTAGGGAATTTTCTGCTTTTATTCTTTTTTTCTGTCTCCATGAATGATTGGGTTAGTTCAGAAGACTTGACTTCAATTTCTGAGATTCTTTCTTCTGCATGTTCTACTCTCTTGCTAAATCTCTCTATGACATTTTGAACCTACTTGAATGTCTCGTTCAATTTCTTAAACATTGCTATGTTCTCCCTAATTATGTCCAGATCCTTGGAGATTTTGTCTTTAATTTCACTGATTTCCTGAGACAGTTTTTGGCATTCCTTTTGCAATTCTTTTTTATTCTTCTTGTCAATTCCATTCTTTTTATTTGCTGTCCCTATTCTGAATTCTATTTCTGCCATTTCAACAATTTCTCTATGGATGGTATTTCTACTTGTATCTCCCTTGTAATCTCCTGAGGGTATTGATCAGTTCTGATTTTCCATGTTGCCAGGGTGCTTCTGCTAATTCCTGCTCATGTGCATTTTCAATTTATTTGCATATTAATTTTACTTTTAAAGATGGAGTGTTAGTTTGTCTCTAACTTTTTACTGAGAGATAATCTTGTTGCGGTCCCTTAGGCAACACTTTTGAGATCTGTCTGAAAATGAAAACTGGTGGGCTTAAATCATATCCAGAGACGTCCAGGATATGGAGTGTGGCACTCCTCTTCACCACTGACTGCTCAAATGGGCTGTTGGTTATACTGGTGGCCTTTCCCACATACACCCTCCCAAAGGTCTCTTTTGGGGTTGCAGCATGTGAGGATTTCAGAAAACTGGCCTTGCTTTCTCCAGGTTGGGTACAGTGGGAATGGAGGCAGGACCTACAGGTGATGCTCCTAGACTGGGGGTGGTCCAACCTAGCAAACTGAACTGTTCCCGCTTTAACAAATTAAAAAACTGCTGGCTTGCCATACCCCCTGTCTCAATAGATTTGAAAGGCAATGATTTTCACTTGGGGTTGTGGGACAGGCATGCCAAACTGTTCCAGCCACAGTGCCAATTTAGCATGCAAACAAAATCAGAAAGCTATGGTTTTCATTGAAGTTCTGGCTGCAATATTTTCCAAAAGTAGGGGCTTTTACCTGTAATTGAGGGAAGAGGATATTCCACTTGTTTCCTGGGCTTTCCCAGAGCCAGATCACCCTCTCCAAGTCCACAAAGGGGCTGAACCTCCTGAAGGAGCCCAATGAGAATGGATGCTGAACAGAGCCACTGAAGAGGGCAGAGAAAATTCCCCAGCAGTAAGAAGACCCAAGATGGACCCCTACTTTGCCAAAGTTACTGTGGTTGAGCCACAGTTGCTGGGCGGGGGGCTGGAAAGAAGGAGAGGTAGGGCACACCCAGGCCACATAACGCAGAGTTCCCTAAGCAACGTTGCCAGACACATCACAGGAGGGGAGGCAGAGACTGTCTCATTGTTCTCCAAGGCCAGTTAAAGATCCTGACAGTTGCCAATATCAAAGCAAGTAGACTCTGTAACCCCTCCTTCCTCGGTTGCTATGGATGCCGGGTAGACATAAAAGGTCCTTGGCCATTTTAGTGCCTGGTGGTGGGGGAATCCCCCCAGGGTATCTGAGTCTGGCTAGCACTCTGACTCATCCTGCTGTGAAGCAGGAACATGCAGGGGACAGTGTGTTGGGCAACCAAAGAAATAAGGGGGCTAGACAGTGGCCTGGAGGCATTTGGAGCCAAAATTGCTCACTATTCCAACAGGCAGGATGGGAACTTAGAGAGGTACATTCCTAAAGGCAGGCAAACTGGGACTAATTATCCTTTCTGGCACTCTTTCACATGGGCTGAGAAGTTCTGTGTCTTGATGCTGGTGGAGAGCCCACCAGGTATGAGTAGGGTCTCTCTTACCTTCTATTCTGCTCTGGGCTCAGACTGTGGCATAACTGCCCTCTGTTCTCTTTCTTACTCTCTCTCATCTTCAATACTTGCAATTTGTCTTGGTGGAGTTGCTGAGCACCTTGATTTCTTCTCCCTCCTCCCCTTTCAACTACTCCCAGTTCTCTTCAATCCAATTTTCCTCCTTCTGGACAGAACTTCTGACTAAAGTGGCCTCTATTCAGCCATTTTACCCCTTCCTGTCCCCTATAAATGGCATTTAAACTTTCCTCCCTAAAGATATTACCTCCACTTTTATAATGGTCTATTCAATCATATGGCCACATTTACTTCAAAGAGAAGGGATATGTATGCTATCAATTGTGTGGAAGGAAGAGACCCTGAATGTTCATAAACACTTATATCTACAACAGAAATTGGGGAAATGGAAGAAAGTTGAAGGAGCATTTGAAATTAAATATTATGTGGTCATTGCCAGATATAGAATTTTATGAAATATGAAATTACTTAATAAAAGGGGGGATTAAGAGCTCAGGAGCCACAAATTTATCAGATAAGAAAGATAGTGAAGGAAAATATGAGTGACTAGTAGGAATGATATGTTGTGTTCTCTTTAATACCATTTTATACTGTGCAAAGGATAATTAAGTAGCATCTACATTTCAATTTTTGTATACTTGGCTAATTTTAATAAATAGTGATTACCACATTATCTACATACCATTTTACTTTTCAAAACAGTCATGTAATCCTCCCAATATTCCCAATGGTGTCTTCTCACCTGTGAGGATTGAACACAGAACTGGAGATGAAATCAGGTATGAGTGTAAAAACGGATTTCATCCTGCAACTCATGTAAATATAGCAACATGCACAAGTAATGGCTGGTCACCTCCTCCAAGATGCACATGTAAGTTCCATTCATATCTTGAATTACTTTTTTTTTTTTCCACTTTGTCATTCTTGATAGAATGCCACAGCATTATGGCTCATAGCAACCTCAAATTCTTGGGCTCAAGTATTCTCTTGCCTTAGCCTCCCAACTATCAGGGATACAGGTGCCTGTCAAAATGCCCAGCTACTTTTAGAGATGGATCTCACTCTTGCTGAGGCTGGTCTAGAACCAGTGAGCTCAAGTGATCCCCCCGCCTCAGGCTCCCAAAGTGCTAGGATTATAAGCGTGAGCCACTGCGCCTGGCATCTTGACTCACTTCTTAATTCTTAAGTTGCTTTCTCTTAAACACATAAAAATAGGTACATAGTATTTGCCTTGTGTGTATAAAATAGACACTTTAGAAGAAGTCTTCACTTTGGAAAGTAATCAATTTTAAATAGGGTAAAAAACAGTGCTGTAAACTAAAAACTCAAATTTTTACTACTCCACATTAAATATGTGGTATGTTAATGTGTCTTTCTCTACTTGAAAAATTCTTACAATATCTGATATCAAATACTGCGTAAAATATTGCCATTTAACACATAGTATATTAACTATGTTTTGAAGTAACAAATTTATGTGAAAACATATTTGCTTAAAACAACAAAACTTTATTATATCACAGTTTCTATGGGTTAGGAATTTGAGAGGGACTTAAATAGGTATCTGACAGTCAGATAGATACTCACATAATGTCACTTCAGCCATCTCTAGTCTTTACAATGAGACACTAAGCCCAGCACATACTCAACAGGTGAGAAATTAGACTCCCCTCTTTGGAGGGAGGGATGCTGAATACTTGTCCAATTTCCTACAACCATCACATGTAGTAAAATGCTGTTTAAGTTAACAGAGTATTTTATTTCCGTCATACTTTCTTTTCCCTTTTTCATATTTTTTTCCATCTCTACAATCATATTCCTTTTCTTTCTATCTCAATAGATTAATGGTTCAAGGGAAATGTAGTACACTATTGGAATGATATTGGGGAATGATAATACTGAATCTGCATTAGGAAAGGTTCATCATTCAAAGAGACTCTTATTGCTAGGCTGAATCTATTAAGATAAAATTTACTAGTGATTGCTAAAAAATCTGGATTTGTGTCAAGGAAGTTACAGTACAGACATGTTAGCAACAATTAAAAAATTGGTGAATATTTTAATGAATGTTTAAGATCAGCTTCAGTCAGCATTACGATGGAACCACTGCAATTGCTGTGATACTACAACTTACCTTGGTATAAGTGTAAAAATAGAATGCAGATGCACTAAATCCTGCCATGCTCAGTGCTGATCCGACCCCATGTGGAAGATTATATTTGCTCTCGGGAACCACTTGTAAAAAGGGTAAGGACAGATTGAAAAGTGCCCAAATGAGGGAGAACAGTGAAGGAGTTTTAGACTCTTAAGTGATACTAAAAACACTTTTAATTATGCCTTCTTTATATATCAAAACATGGACTCTGTGCAACACCATAATAAGGTGAATAATAACTGGTTTTGAAATCTACCACTAGATTTTACATCTCTGCTCTATGGTTTAATGGGCAATTTAAGTGAGTTCTTTTAATTTAATTGAGACATAGTTCCTGTGAATCCAAAGACTGAAACTCACCCAATGCAGAAAATAATACACATCTTGATAGATTATGATGAAATTTGTACAATCCCATGGTAAATAGAAAGCTATTTAAATCTTTTAAAAGCATTGGAGAATAATGTAGAATGTTACTCAAAATAAATGAGACTAAACAAACATTTTAAGGTCAACATTAGAAATTTGAATTATGTGGGGGTAGAATTGTTCAATGTAATAGAAATGGTTTGCTAGCCAAGAAGCTACAGAAGTATCACTTAGTTGTCTTTCTTAAAGAAGATGTTTAGTATATATAAAGATTCAAAGGTTATAATCCATGTAAGCATGTAGAACTACTTGGGAAATTTTCCAAATTACACAAAACAGAAACTGGATCACTGAATTTAATAATTATGAAGAACATGATAAAGTATGTTTGATGTGCTTATGTGTATGTGTTGAAATTATTTTAAATTCTTTTATCATGTCACATGTAGTTTAATGAAATAGAATCACATTTCATGGCAAAAGGCTAATACTTTTTGGTTTTGAAGTACTAGATTATCATTAAATAAACCCATGCAAAGTTAAATTTTTGAAAAATATTCTATATAAACCTGGTACTACAAGAAATAATATAGCACTTGAACATATATGTCAAAATTAGTTAACCTACTGGGTGTGGTAGCTCACGCCTGTAATCCTAGAACTCTGGGAGGATGAGGTGTGTTCATTGCTTGAGCACAAGCAGGTGTGTTCATTGCTTGAGTTCAAGACCAGACTGAGCAATAGGGAGACCCAATCACTATGGCAAATAGAAAAACAGAGGCAAGAGGATTGCTTGCGCCCAAGAACTTGCAGTTTATCAGTTTTGTTGCATTTTTCAAAAGCCAACTTTTTGATTCATTGATCTTTTGAATAGTTCTTTTGTTTTCAATTTCATTTAATTCTGCTTTAATTTCAGTTATTTCTCTTTTTTGCAGTTTTTTTGAGGGGGGCTGGGACTGAGTTTGATCCTGCCATTTCTAGCATATGGGGCTAGCACCCTACTCTTTTGAGTTACAGGTGCCACCTGTTATTTCTCTTCTTCTGCTGGGTTTGGGGTTGGAATGTTCTTCCTTTTCCAGTAGCTTAAGATATACCATTAAGTTATTGACTTCCTTTCTTTCCTTTCTCTTGAGGAAGGCTTGTAACCCTATAAATTTCCCTCTTAGGACTGCCTTTGCAGTATCCCACAGGTTCTGATAATTAATATCTTCATTATTGTTTTATTCCAAAAATTTGGCAATTTCCTTCTTAATCTCATCTATGACCCAGCTATCATTTGGCATGAGATTATTTAGTTTCCATGTCTTTGTATGAGTATGCAGATACCTGTTTTTGGTAAGTTCAACTTTCATTGTGTGATGATCTGAGAAAAGACAAGGAATAATTTCTATACTTTTAAATTTACTGAGGTTAGACTTGTGACCTAAGATGTGATCAATTTTGGAGGATGTTCCATGCGCTGATGAGAACAATGTGCATTCAGTTTTGTTTTTCTGATTTCTGTTTGCCTGGATTACAGATGCCCATCCCTTCACCCTGAGTCTATATTTAACTTTTAAGGTAAGATGAGATACTTATATGCAGCATTTATCTGGCCTGAGTTTTAGTATCCAGGTAACCAACCTGTGCCTCTTAAGAGGATAGTTTAAGCCATTCACATTAATTGAGAGTATTGATAAGCCTGGTAGTATTTTGAGTGTCAAGTTTTTTGAAAGTCCACTGGACATTTTGAATTTTTTCATCACTGTCAAAAGTGGGTTTTGGTCAAGAATTTCAGCGTGAGTGTACTTTAGTGGTAGAGCATTGTGCTGGTCATTATGGAGCATGGGTCTGAGGATATTCTGAAGAGCTGGTTTGGTTATGACAAATTTCTTCAACATGTGTATGTAGTTAAAGTATTTAACTTCTCCATCAGAAATGAAGTTCAATTTAGCTGAATACAGGATCCTGGGCTGAAAGTTGTTTTGTCTTAGGAGAGTGAAGGTCGATGACCATCCACTTCTGGCTTGAAAAGTTTCAGCAGGAAGATCTGCAGTTATTCTAATATTCTTATCCTTGTAAGTTATGATTTTCTTACATCTGGATGTTTACAGGATTTTCTCCTTCATATTAACTTTGGTAAAGTTAATTATGATATATCTAGAAGATGCATTATTTGGGTTGAGTCATGCTGGGATTCTAGAACTGCTTACTGAATTTCAGTGTCTCTTCCCATGCTTGGGAAGTTCTCCTCAATTATCTCTTGGACTAGAGTTTGCCATTCGGACCATCCTCTTCTTCAGGGATACCTATGAGGCACATGTTTGCTATTTTGGAGTGCTCCCACAATTCTCTCAGGAAATGATCCATTTTTGCTCTCCACTTCTCTTCCTCTTTGAACTTTTGTGAGTGTTCAAAAGCTTTGTCTTCAATGTCAGATCCTTTCTTCTGCCTGCTCCATTCTGTTACTGAGAGATTCTACCGTATTTCTCAGATCTTTGAGGGCTGCAAGTTCTTGTTTCAATGTGTCAAAATCTTTGGTGATTTCATGTTTGAATTCATTGAATTCTTGAGACAACTTTTGAATGGCTACTTGAATTTCTAATTCCATCTTTGCCTCCATTCTGTTAGTCTTATTTGGAATCCAAATTCTGATTTCGATTTCTGACATCTCAGCCATTTGTTTATGAATGGGATCTTCTGTTGTGTCTCCGTTGTCTTTCCTTGGGGGAGTTGATTTACTCTGATTATTCATGTTGCCAGAGTTTTTCTGCTGATTCTACCTCATGATTATTTTTCACCATTTGGCTAGAGAAGTTGGCAAGGTGAATTTGAATTGAGGGATCCTGGAGATGTAATTGACCAACCCTTTACCAAAGAACTTGGACTGGGGTTTGTGGCTTTTCCCTTAGACCTTTACAAAGGTCCCATTCAGAACTACAGCCTGAAACTCTGGGGACCTGCTTGGCCTGGTGGGGCTAGATGGTGCTGACTGGTATTCAGCTAGTTTCTGCCCAATCTTAGTGAGTCAGTGGCTTTAGACTGAAATCTCAGCTGTGGAAATATATAAGCAACTAGGACACACACACACCCCCACACACACAGGCAACAACTGGCAGAGTAGAATCCCACACTTCCACAACAATACAACCAGGGTACAACATTGGTGGGTCCCTGGGTGATGGGCCCATGTCAAGAGCATCAGACCAATTGTTCTGGTCAACACAAACACCAATCTGGTGGTTGAGTTCAAAAGGTCTTCAGCATCTAGGCAACAGGAGTCCACTGGGCAGCTCAATTTGACCCCAGTGGGAGGGACCGTGGAGCCACCACCACTGTCAGGGGCAGTGCTGCCACTGTCCAGGGTGGTGCCATAGGTCTGGGGTATTGCTGCATGCAGGTCACTGGAGCCAGTGGGGATCTGGATGGCATTGCCACTGGCTGCAAGGGTCACAGGAGCCTGAAGGGAACCTGAGGGCAGAGCCACTGACCCCCGGCCTCGGGTGCAGAAGCTGAACTGGAAGCTGGAGGGCAGTGTCGCTGGCCTCTGGGGCCTTAAGGGTCACAGGAGCCCGGCAGGAGTCACAAGTCATGGGCCATGGGACACAGGAACTGGGCAGGGAGCTGAAGAATGGATTTGCTGGCTGTGAGCCACATGAGTCCTAGGAGTGGGGTGGGAGGTGCCCACTGCAGGCCACAGGTCGCAGGTCACATGAGCTGGGTGGAAGTTGCTGCTGGGGCTGCTGGTCATAGGAGCCCAGCCAGGAACACAGCTGCCCACCATGGGCTGCTGAGCCAGGGACCCAGTGGGCTGTGGTCCCTGGTGGGTAGTTGGATCCCAAGCTATGATCTTTCCAAGATGGGCCAAGTCTCTCTCCCCTTGTGACTTTCCACCTCTATTAAAGTTATAGTTTTACAACTGCCCCACAGCTCATAAGGTGCCTGCCCTAGAAAAAATCTGCCAAATGCTCCAGATTTTGCAGGGGGTAGTCTTCCAGGCCAGTAAGAGAGGGGGAAGTGGTGGACTGGGAGTTCAGAAAGTTAGGAAGAGTACTAGATCAACTTTTGGCCCAGGCAAAAGACTGCCTGGGCTTGCAACTGTATCTCTCCATGGAGGAAGTCCTGGCCCTCAGTGTTCTTGGTGAAAGAAAAGTTCCTCTGTTCCCTACTCATCTCAACTTGCTCTCCTGGGTGGGGGTGTGAGGGGAAGGATTCTTGTCTTTTTTGGGATGGGTTGAAATTTGTTTCCCTGTAGTCCCAGTTTGTCATAGCAAGGGTGATACAAATCTATCAATCCTCTCTCAGCTCAGCTCCTGATCTTCTGCTTTATTGGGTCATTTCTGGCCATTATTTCTCCATCTGAATGGGAGGGAGCCTTTGCCAAAAGCTGGCTTCAGTCAGCCATCTTGCCCAGGTCCCCCAGAGCTCTTATTTCTGATGAAAATGGAAATGAAAGACATGGGCTGAGTGTTGAAATCAGCATGTAGGCTCATATATTCACCCAGGATCAGAGCATATGTACTTAGGGGGAATACAGTAAATAAATCTGTACAGTTTTCTTCCTGGAGAGCCTTCATATAAATGTATTCATCATATGACTCACAAGATAAAATTTCACCTTCATTTAGAAAGTCCTGCTCAACTATTTCAGTTGTCTCTGTTCCTCAACTGTTTTTTGACCTAGAAACCTTAGTGGAATGAGTGTACCTATCCTAGAGGAATATAACTGATTGGTCAAAAATTCCATCTTTTAATGTGATGTTCATTAGAGAAAAATGTTACTTACACTTTTTTCTTTTTATTTTTTATTGCAAGTGAAACCTTGTGATTTTCCACAAATAAAACATGGACAACTATATGATGAGGGTAGATATAGACCATACTTTCCAGTAGCTATTGGAAAACGTTTCTACTATCACTGTCACCATAATTTTGTGACTCCTTCACGACATCATTGGGAGTACATTCACTGCACACAAGAAGGATGGTTACCAGCAAAACCATGCCGCAGTAAGTAAATCTCCTTACAACTATGTATGAGTAAAACTTCCAAAACACGGAGAGACGAGAGATTCTATTTGACTATAATTAAGTCTTATATGACAGAAGAAAGGCTAAGGAATAGTCATCTAGGAATAAACCAAAACATGACTTTTCCATTATGAAGAGCTATTCATGAAAATCACATGAAAAATACATATAGAGACTTCCCAAGAATATCTGTACAATCTGTACATATTGAATAATGATCTCTTTACACAAACATTTGGTATTAGCTTGAGTTTTTCTTAAGGTATACAGTATTGTTGGATATTTATGCAGTCTTCTTTAAATATCTGAATTTTAAATTGCTGTTTTGACCAAATTTATGTTTCTCATTTACTGTTATTTACTTCTCATTTTTGTGGCCTTTAGGACAATGTACTTTTAATTATTTGGAAAATGGACAATATCCATATTATGGAAGAACATATATAGAGGGTGAATCTGTACGAGTCAGTTGCAATTCTGGCTACAGTCTTCCCAATGGGCAGACCAAACTTACTTGTACAGAGACTGGCTGGCTCCCTCCTCCCAAATGCATCCGTGTCCGTAAGTAAACTGCTTTGAGACCCCAGTATGTTTATAATTTTCTAAGGCTCATCTATATTGACAAATATATGGCAAAATGTGTATATCAACTTCTTGTTTGCCAACAGAGATGTTTGTTTAGTTTTATTTTTTTAATTGTACATAAGTTGATAGACAAATTTCTTGATAAGTAGATAGTAAATTAAATGTCTATTAGTAGACATCAGTCAAAAATAAAGTAAAAGAATTTGACATAATATTTGTTAGTAATTTATCATTGACTATGTCTGAAGTCTGATAGTTAAGTTCCTGAATTTTCCACCATGCATCTCTATTTGTAACACTGTACAAACAGCTCTCTAAGGTTTCACACCCTTGGCATGTCAGCCTCTCAGAGCTGTATTTATGTCAATGTGTGGCAGTGTCTTGCTGAGAGGTGTTCATTGTTGCGTTGAGCCTTGTGAGATTGTTTGATTTTGAATTAGAGCAATGAACAAACAGTAAATGTCTTGTTAAATTTGGAAAGAATGGAAGTGAAATCAGCAAATTAGTCCAAGTTTATAGGGATAACACCATGAAGAAAGGAGCAGTGTACACATGGATTAAATGCTTTTGAGGGAAAAGAAATTGTCACTGAAGAAGAGACACCATAGTAGTCAATAAGGAACAGAACTAATGAAAACATAGCAAAACTTCATAGAATTGTTCATCAAAATGGTCACCTATGAAAAGTATTAGTAGACCAAGTAAACAGTGATAGAGAAATAGGAAAATATTAACTGAAACTCTTGGCATGAAAAAGGCATGTGCAAAAATGGTTCCAAGGGAGCTCATTGATGAACAAAAGCAAAGGAGAGTCAAAATTTGCCAAGACATTTTGTGGATAACATCTTGAACCATGTTATCACTGGTAATGAAGCATGGGTGTACCAATGCAAACCTGAAACAAAGTGTTAAAGTGCAAAATAAAGGTTATTCAATTCTACTCAACCAAAAAATGTTCCATCAATCCAAATCAAGAGTCAAAACAATATTGTTAACATCTTTTGATATCAATGGGATTATTCATTATGAAATTGTACCAAGTGGACAGTTAACCAAGTTTACTATTCAGAAATGCTGAAAAGGTTGAGTGAAAGAGTCAGATGAAAATAACCTGATAACAACTCATGGCTCTTGCATCACAACCATGCACCAACTCAAACAGTACCATCTATGAGGGAGTATTTAGTCAGTAAACAAATAACTGTATGGAAACACTCTCCCTACTCACCTGATTTGACCTCTAGTGACTTTTTTTCTTTACGAAAGACAAAAGAAACATTGGAAAGCAAATTTTTTTTTCAGACAGTGTCTATGTTGCCATGAGTAGAGTGCCATGGCATCTCAGCTCACAGCAACCTCAAACTCTAGGGCTTAAGTAATTTTCTTGCCTCAGTCTCCCAAGTAGCTGGGACTACAGGTGCCCACCACAACACCCAGCTATTTTGTTGTTGTTGTTGTTTAGCACGTCCAGGCCAGTTTCAAACCTGCCATCCCCAGCATATGTGGCACCCTAACCATTTAGCTATACGCACCGAGACAAGAAAGTAGATATTTTGATGACATTCAAGATGTCAAGGCTAATATGATGGAGCTCTGGTGACCATTCCAGAAAAAGAGTTCCAAAATTGCTTTGAAGTATGATCTAGGTGCTAGCATTGGTGCATAGCTTCCCAAGGGGAGTACTTCAAAGGTAACTGGTTATTCAGCAAAGAGGTATGCAGCACTTTCTCTAGAATGAGTTTGGGAACTTAATTGTCAGATATAACTTAATCATTTGACTCAAAATGATTATAAAAATATAGTTTAAAGTAAAATTAAGTATAATGATAGCCAAAAATGTCATTCATATTTTTAAGCATTGATATGACATTCTTAGAGTAAAGCTATTTGTCACTGAGTTTCTCTCAGATTCATTACTAGGAATGGGTTTTCTGGGCCATTATGCATAATCTACTTTAGAAAGATCCCTATAGTACTTGTTCTAATAGCAATAGCTGCTTTTGGTTTTACATCCTTGTTAATAACTTCTGATATGACATTTTAATATTTACCATCTGAGTGGCTACAAAATGTTATAGCATTGTTGTTACTTTACATTTATTTTATTAGTAATTGAGTTTAACGTGCATATTCATAGATTAATTGGCATTTATTTATTACAGTCTATAAAATGAAGTTTGACCTTGTGTTAATTTATCTTTTTTGGCTGTTTTAGTACTTGTTTGGTGGAATCTCAGAAAACTGAGAGTATTAATTCTCTTTCAATTATAAGTATAAAAATGCATTTGTTTATGGGGCTAGCATTTTACTTTTGTTTAATATTTATTATGAATATAAATTTTTCATTTTACTAAAACTCATCAGTCTTTTTCATAATTAATGTTATTGTTTTTATTGAAAATAATAGTTCTTCCTTAAAAACCTAGAGACAGTGTACTGTATTTCATAGAAAAAAGTTACAATATTTTCTCTTCCCTTTCTATATTTTCAGTTTATTTAATTTTGTTTTAGCTTATGATAATAACTGTATTTGCTCTTTTTAAATAGGGGAAACCAACATTTTCTCAGAAATCTTTTGTACATTTCTCCAATAATATATTATATATACATGTATATAAAATGGCTAGTATTCTGAGTACTCTATGTTTCAGTATTAGTAGATAATTTTTCAACCAGTGTTACAGTAACTCTCTATCTTAATTATACAAGGTTAGAACAAATATGGATATCTAAAAATGACCTTGCACCCTAATCTTTATTCTTTATTAGTGTCATTTTTGAGTTTCATTATTCAATGTCTGGTGATACCATCATTTTTATTTTTTCTTGGTAGACTTTTTAAAAAGAGATCAATGATATGTTTCCATTTAATGTGTAATTTCTCTTGATATCAAACAACTCAATTAAAT